ATCCATTACCCCATTAACAGACAAAGTTATCCCCATAGAGAAACTGAGGCACAGTGAAGTTTTTAAAGATTTATAACACTTATAAAGTCCAGTCCACACTCCTTACTCCCCAGCTAAGAGAAGGGGCATCTAGATTGGGGGGTAAAATCATGTGCGTGACCTTACAGAACAAGGCACTGACAATGACAATACTGGATGACAGTTTTTACAATAAGTAGACTCGAAGTAAAAACCACTGAAGAAAACATTGTCATGTTTTATGCCTAGCGTGGATGTCCAACCTTTTTCCTTCTCTGCCACACATTGGGAAAAAAAAGATGTCTTGGGTCACACATTAAATACATCACTAACAAAAGCTGATGAGCAAAAGAAAAAAAAGTCCATGTATAATTTTTACAATATCCAACACCCTGAATAGGCAAAACAATCCTCATATAATCCACATATGGTCCTTGGGCTGCAGGTTGGACACTCCTGTGAGGTTCAAGCCAAAATTAAGACACAACAGGCATTAATGTTTAAAACCATCGGTTATATAGCTCTAGAAATAAAAGAAGAAATTAACAAGGGCACAACTACTGTACATCTTAGTAGTTGATAGTTTAATTGAAAGCGAGGAAGAACAGAGAATTTGAACATTTACAATTTATTCTACAAACAAAATGTTCTACAACTCCTAGGTTATATTTATTTTCCTAAACTAAATCAATGTTATTTCTAAACCTACTGCATATTAGAAGAACATCATATGAATTATTATGTAGATTTCTTTTAATTCTCTGGGCTATACCAAGACCCCAGAACTTACATGAGAATAGGAAAAATGGGGGAGACTCCTTGTGCCATCACTGGGCAAGAGAGATGCCTGCCCTTCAGGATCCATGCCATCCATTGAGAAATATTGGCCTTCATACCCCCATTGCCAAGCCTAGAATTAGTGACCTTTACTGTCAAGGCTACTCCCAGTGGTCAGAGATGATGTTCCCCAGGTATGCAGTCTCCCCAGCTGGAAGCCTCAAAGTCATCTTGACTTCATTATTTCCTTCTCCATAAAACCAATAACTGATCACCAAATTCCACACCTGAAATGTCTCTGGGAAACTCTGTGTTCACTAGTCAATGCCCTGGTTCAGCACTCTGATGCCTTGTCAAGGATATTTCAGGAAGTTTATTTCAGCTCCTTCTGACTCTCCCCAGCCAGTATTTGGCTCTTAACCTGTGCATATCATAGTCCATATCCACAGCTTCAGTGCATTCCTGCCAAATAGGGCTAACCTCACAATGCATTTGCTGAGAAATGATTTTCCAGAAAATCTTAAGTAAAGTGTGGTGGGTGTGATGTGGTGGTTCATGCCTGTAATCCTAGTGGATTAGAGGTGGTTCATGCCTGAAATGGGAGGTAGCTCACACCTATAATCCTAGCATTCTGAAAGGCCGAAATGGGAGGATCCTTTGAGCTCAGGAGTTGGAGACCAGCCTGAGCAAGAGGAAGTCCCTGTCTCTACCAAAATTAGAAAAATTTGGCTGAGTGTGGTAGGCCTGTACCTATAGTCCTAGCTACTCAGATGGTGGCAGCAGGATGGCTTGAACCCAGGAGTTAGAGGTTTCTATGAACTCAGCTGATGCCATGACACTGTAGCATGGGCAACAGAGTGAGACTGTCTCAAAAAAAAAAAAAAAAAAAAAAAAAGATTTTTGTGGAGAAGTAAAGAAGAAAATATACATAACATGCCACTGGGCAAAACTGCAAAATTTTCTTTAATTGCTCCAGATTTCCCCAAAACTCTTTTCTGACAGTGACTCTTCTGAGTCACTCGAAAATTCTCTCTCTTGCCATAGCTCCTAGACCTTCCTCCCTGGGCTCTAGTCTCCCATCCACCAACGCCTTTCTTTCTTCAACCCACATCCTAATTGCTTATGTTGAGTAATTCAACTCTCCTCAAGCTTCTACAATTTGCATCCACTTAAACAAAAGATACTGTAAATAATATCATCAGGGTCTTTTATTTTTCTGGTCTTGTATAGTTTCCTGTCTGTAACATACTATGTATGTAATCACACACTTACCTCCTCTATTCTAAAAAACTCTACCAGCAATCTAATTAGTAGCTGGGGAGAAGGCAACATGTTATCTCAAGTGTATCTGAGTAAAACTGTATTACTACAACCAGGTAGATTTGAAGGACAGTTGGGACTTTTATGAAGAGACACCAGATGGACCAGGAGACAGCCATACCCAGAGACCAGACAGGAACCACAGCCTCAGCAGAAGGTAGGTTTTGTTTTGCTTTGGTTTTTTTTTTTTTTTTTTGAGACAGAGTCTCACTCAGCCCTGATGTTGAGTGCTGGGGCACCAAATTTCACAGCAACCTCAGGCTCAAGAGATCCTCTTGCCTCAGCCTCCCAAGTAGCTGTGACTACAGGTGTCTGCCACAATGCCCAGCTAGTTTTTCTATTTATAGAGATGGGGTCCCAAGTCCTGAGCTCAAGCAATCCACCCACCTTGGCCTCCCAGACTGCTAGGATAACAGGCATGAACCACTGCACCTAGCCCAGAAGCTAGTTTAAGAAAAATAACATCCCTAAATTAAACTCCTCACACACATACTCATTCTATGACATGATGAAGTTTCTGACAACTTACCATCTGGGGCAGACAACTGAATTCAGACTTAAATGACTGAGTGTTACCCTGTGGAAGTCTTCTACTACATAGGTACTGATGATAGAAATTCTGTTGTCTTTAAAAAAAAAAAAAGATAAATGTCTCTTATACATCTAAAGTTTGAAGCCTGGGAATTCATCCTTGCTACAGAGGTTTAAAAAAAATCAAATGCGGCTCGGTGCCTGTAGCTCAAGCAGCTAGGGTGCCAGCCACATACACTGGAGCTGGCAGGTTCAAATCCAGCCTGGCCCGTCAAACAACAATGATGATAACTACAACCAAGAAAAAAAAAATAGACAGGCGTTGTGGCAGGTGCCTGTAGTCCCAACTACTTGGGAGGCTGAAGCAAGAGAATCGCTTAAGCCCAAGAGTTGGAGGTTGCTGTGAGCTGTGACACCACAGCACTCTACCCAGGGCAACAGCTTGAGACTATTTCAAAAAAAAAAAATCAAATGTAAGACAAGATAGTGTATCATTACCTTCCAAAATGAATACTCACAAAATGTCCTTCAGAGGGACAGATGTAACAGCTAGAAAAAGTAAAAATGAAAACATGTGCTAAATACTACCACCAGGCTTCTTTTTCAGAGTACTCACAAAGCAGGCACAGAATTTCTGCCAGCCCTGAAGCACCACTGTTGTCTCTACATTCCAGAGACAGTGCTAATAGACTAAGTGGGCTGCAGGTTACAGGTAACCCACCCTTCAAGCCAGCATTTCTGTCCTAACCCAGGAAAGCAGCTCCAGCCTTCTCAGCATCCTATGCCTTCCTGCCTTCCATGAGCTTTGAAATCTGACAAATCCTGGATGCAATGCTGGCTTTACATCTTTACCCTCCCTGGACCTCACTTTTAATAATGGAACCTATCTTATAGGGTGATCAGGATCAAATGGGAAGGCACATGTGAAAAGCCAGGACTATTTCATCACCGATTCTTCATGCCCCTTTATAATTCTTTCCCATCCTTTCCTGCTCCCAGGCAACCACGGATATATCAAATGGCACTACAAATTACTCTGCATTTTCTACGGTTTTCTATAAATGGAACCATGCATTCTTTTCTTCTGGTTTCTTTCATTCAGTATAAATATTTTTGAAATTTATCCATGCAGTATGTTTTAACAGTTCATTCTTTTATATTCCTGAGTAGCATTCTTTTGAATGAACAAATCACAAAGACATTTTAGTTATTTATAAATTTGGGCTATTACCAAAAAGGTGCTATGAACAACTGTATACAAGTCTGTGTGTGGACATGTACATTTCATTTTTCTTCAGTAAATTCCTAAAATAGAATAGCTGGAAATCATGGTGTATGTATCCTTAACTTTTTTTTTTTTCTCTTGAGACAGAGTCTTTCTTTGTCACCCTCGGAGGAGTACCGTGGTGTCACAGCTCACAGCAACATCAAATTCTTGGGCCCAAGCAATTCGCTTGTCTCAATCTCCCAAGGAGCTAGGACTACAGGTGCTTGCCACAATCCCCAGCTATTTTTAGAGACAAGGTCTTGCTCTGGCTCAGACTGGTCTCCAACCCATGAGTTTAGGCAATCCATCTGGCTCAGCCTCCCAAGTGCTAGGATTACAGGCGTAAGCCACCGTGCCTGGCCTAGAACTTCTAAATTTTGATGAAGTCCAGCTTATTAACTATTTCTATAATAGACCATGCCTTCAATGTTGAATCTAAGAAATTGTTATCAGACTCAAGGTCACAAAATTTTTCTCTTTTCTTCCAGAAGTTTTGCATTTCTAGAACTGATTACAATCTTTGTGGAGTTTATGGTATAAGGTATGAATCAATGTTTTGTGAACATTGATTTTCTAGCACCATTTGAGGAAGATTATTGTTTCTCCACTGAATTGCTTTTATATCTTCATTAAATTCAGTTGTCCATATGTGTGAGTCTATTTATAGACTATTCTGTTCTACTGATCTATCTTTATGTAAATACAACAGTTGTTAATTACTGTAGCTTTATAATCTGTCTAAAAGTTAAGTAGTGTTAGTCCTCCAAGTCTGTTTTATCCAAAGTAGTTTGGGGAATTCTAGGTCATTTGCAGAATCAGGTTGTCAATTTCTACCAGGTAGACTTCTGGGATTTAGACTGGGATTACTCTGAATCTATGAATCAATTTTGGAGAACTAACACCTTAACAATATTGAGAGTTCATAAACATGGTACCTACATCTTGGTTTACTTAAATCTTTTAATTTAGCTTCAGAAAAATGTTTTAAGTCATAAGTTCAATATTAGGTGGTACCCATTTTGCTTCTTCTCACATTGTTTCCTTAGCTCCTAGTCTGCAAGTAGTGAAATGACCTTCCCAGGAAGAGCAAAATATGGAACACTTCACGAATTTGTGTGTCATCCTTGTGCAAGGGCCATGCTAATCCCTGTATGGCTCCAATTTTAGTATATGAGCTGCCAAAGAGAGCACAGTTCAACAAAGTTTAATAGGTTCAGTGTACAGGTCTTGCTTATCTTTTCTCCAATGAACCCTACTTTTTTTAAGCTATTGTAAGAGGTTTGGGGGGGAATTTTTTTGTTTTCTTTTCTTTTTCTTTTTTCAGACAGAGCCTCAAGCTGTTGCCCTGGGTAGAATGCTGTGACATCACAGCTCACAGCAACCTCCAACTCCTGGGCTCAAGTGATTCTCTTGCCTCCAACTCCCAAGTAGCTGGGATTACAGGTGCCCGCCACAACACCTGGCTATTTTTTGATTGGAGTTGTCATTGTTGTTTGGCAGGCCCAGGCTGGATTCAAACCCGCCAGCTCAGGTGTGTGTGGCTGGCGCCTTAGCCACTTGAGCTACAGGCACAGCGCCATAAGAGTTATTTTTTAATTTAAATTTCTGATGGTTGCTACTAAACAGAAAAACAATTCATTTTTGTATAACCCTGTTAGTACTAGGATTCACTTACTAGTCCTAGTAGCTCTTGTAGGTCCTGTATCAGATTGAGGAAGTTCCCGCTTATTTCTACTTCAGATTTTTTAAAAATCAACAATGGATGTTAGATTATTAATGCTTTTTCTGTGTCTCTGAAATAATTATATAGTTTTGTTCACTTTTATTTTTGCTTTTGAGACAGAGTCTCACTTTGTTGCCCTCGGTAAAGTGCTGTAGCATCATAGCTCACAGTAACCTTGAACTCCTGGGCTCAAGCGATCCTTCTGAGTAGCCGGGACTATAGGCACCCACCAAAACACCCAGCTAGTTTCAGAGATGGGGCTTTGCTCTTGCTCAGGCTGGTCTCAAAACCTTGAACTCAAACTATCTACCTACCTCAGCCTCCCAGAGTGCTAGGGTTACAGGAGTGAGCCACCATGCCTAGCCCTAGTTGTGTTTGGTGATATTGTGAATTATGATTACCTTTCAAATGTTAAAACAACCTTATATTCCTGGAATTAACTCCTCTTGGTGATATTATTCCTTTTATGCATTGTTAGATTCAATTTGGTTAACATTTTGTTTAGAAATTCTGAATATAGATTCACAAAAGGATATCGATCTGCAGTTTTCTTGTAATGTCTTTATCTGGTATTAGCATCAGAATATTTTTGGCCTTGCCATGTACATGGCTCAAGACTTCATCTCTAAAGAAATTTTTTTTGATTTGTCAGGTGAGGTGGCACATGCCTGTTGTCTAGCTACTCAGCAGGCTGAAGCAGCAGTATTGTTTGAGCCCAGGAGTTTGAGGCTGCAGTGAGCTATGATTGGGCCACTACACTCCCACTAGGACAACAGAGCAAGACCACATCTCTTTTAAAAAATTGATCCCACTGATGAGTAGAAAGTATTCCCTCCTCTTTAATTGTCTGAAGGAGCTTGTATAGAATTGGAAGTACTTGTTTCTGAAGTGTTTGTTAGTAGCCATCTGGCTGTAGCCACTGAGCTACAGGCGCTGAGCCTGTAGGTCAGTTTTGATAAGTTTTTTTCTTTGCTCTAATTATGGGTCACAATGTTTTCTCGTCATCCTAAAGGCAAAAAATTGTAAGTTGAACTATGATAAGTCAGGGACCATCTGTAGTAATATTGATCATCTTTTCAAATGCTTGTTGGTCATTTGTGGGTTGTCTTTGGAATATGTCTATTCAAGTTCTTTGCCCATTTAATTAAGTTGGTATTTTTCAGCTGTTTCATTATAGAATTCCTTATATATTTTGAATATTATCCTTTTATCAGATATGATTTACTAATATCTTCCCCAGTCTTGTAAGCTGCTTTTTCACTCTTGTTTCCTATGATATGCAAAAGTTTTTAAGTTTGATATAGTCCTTTTTTTTTTTTTTCCTTTGAGACATGGTCTCCCTTACTCAGGCTAGTAAGGGAGTCTTTTCTGAGACAGAGTCTTATTTTGTCACCCTCGGTAGAGTGCCATGGCGCTCACACCAGACCAGAAGTAGTGCCTATTCTTCCAGACAGACTGAAAGTGGCATCATCATAACTTATTGTAGCCTCAAAATCCTGGGCTCAAGTGATCTTCATGCCTCAACAGCCTCTCAAGCAGCTGGGACTACAGGCACATGCTACCCGCCCTGGCTAATTTTTAATTTTTTATAGAGATGAAGTCTTATTGTGTTACTCAAGCCAGTCTTAAATTCCTTGCCTCAACCGACCCTCCTGCCTTAGCATTTTGGGAGGCCAGGATTACAGAGCATGAGCCACTATACCCAGCCTATTTTTACTTTTGTTGGTGCCATATCCAAGAAAGAAATCATTGCTAAATCTGATGTCCTGAAGCTTTTATCCTATGTTTTCTCTTATGAGCTTAATAGTTCTAGATCTTACTTTTAGATTTTTAATCCATTTTGAGTTAATTTTCATATATGGTATAAGATAAGGGTTCAACTTCATTCTTTTGCTTATCCAGTTTTCTGAACACCATTTGTTGAAGAGACTGGCTTTTCTCCTTTATATCAATCTTGAGACCTTTGTCAAAAACCATTTGGCCATCTACACAGGAGTGAGTTTACGGACTCTCTATTCTGTTCCACTTGTCTGTATACTACAAGGTGGCCATAAAGTTCGTTGAAATTGCACACTGTTTTAAATTTCAAACAAGCTTTATGGCCACCCTGCATATCTTTCTTTATCCTAGTATTATACCATCTTGGTGACCGTTGCTTTGTACTATGTTTCAAAGTACAGGAAATATAAGACCTCTAACTTAATCTTTTTTCTTTTTTCAAGATTACTTTGGTTATTCAAAGTCTTTGAGATTCCATATAATTTCAGAATGGTCACTTTTCAGTTCTGAAAAAAATGCCCTATAACTATTCTCTATCTTTGTTCTTGGAAACAGTTAAATTACTTGGAAAGAGGTTAATCCTTGCTTCTTGCTTTTAAGTTTTATTAGGTAGAACTGGAGCAGAGTTTAGTTTAGGGTTATGGTTCTCCACAGGAGATGACTCTGCTCCCCAGAGGACATCTAGCAATGCCTGCAGACATTTTTTACCTTCACAGCAGAGGAGGTGTTACTGGAATCAAGTATGGGGAGGCCAGGGACATAGTTAAAAATCCTATAATATGCAGGAGATCTCTTACAATAAAGAATCACCAAATCTAACATTTCTATAGTGCTAAGGTTGAGAAGCCACAATGTCTAAAGGCTAATTATTATTCCCTACTATTGAGGCAACAAGATGCTTCTGAGGACCCAAGAATTTGTGCATTATTACATCTTTTTTGCAGTCTGTCTGGGAGAATAGGCACTACTTCTGGTCTGGTGTGAGTGCCAAACACTATTCCTTCTAATTTTCAGATGGTTCTTTCATAGGGCTCCAGGTAGTTTCCTCACACACACATGTGCTGGTCAGAACTCTGCTAAATATGTGCCAGACACTTCACAGAAATTACTTCTAATCCTTATAATAATCCCCCAAAGCAGTATTTGTTTTATCTATTTTTACTGATAAACCCAAGCTAAGGTCAACCAATTTGTTTAATACCACTGAGCTAGTAGTCACTAGCATCATATCAAAACAACTAAGGTCATACTGAAACACAATTCAAACAAGTGTTTCAAGGTTCATGTTTTCACTCTTCCATAATGTGACAGGTTTTACCTTTAAGTCTATTCCTTCAGTTCATGAGTGTCCCAGGGCAAATTCACTACAGATTTTAATCTTAGGTAATCATAATGACATAAACTTTGTGAAAGAAAAAAAATAAGCTTAAAACTGATTTTTCAACTTGGCACCTGTGGCTCAAGTGGCTAAGGCACCACCACATACACCTAAGGTGGCGGGTTCAAATCCAGCCCAGGCCCGCCAAACAACAATGATGGCTGCAACCAAAAAATGGCCAGGTATTGTGGCAGGCGCCTGTGGTCCCAGCTACTTGGGAGGCGGAGGCAGGAGACTCGCTTGAGCCCAGGAGTTGGAGGTTGCTGTGAGCTCTGATGCCACAGCACTCTACCCAGGGGGACAGCTAGAGGTTCTGTCGCAAAAAAAAAACAAAAACTGATTCTTCATAGTGCCTTCAAACCACAGACTAAGCAGACTAAGGAAGACCACCCTGGTATTACAAGTAACCTGTATAATTATTAAGAGAAATTAAGTCTCACATTTAAGTGCTAATTTCCATAGCACTTTCAGATGTACTATTACATCCAATTTAACATTACCCAGAGAATTAAGCAACAGAACTGAAAATAGTACAATACTGTCTATACTACAATTGTATTACCTGTTTCCTTGTATGTAAAATGGGAAGACAATTCTATTACACTATATAAACTACTATGTGTAGTTATACACGCATAATGATATTTCAGTTCTGCTGCTCAACCCACCCTATTCCCATTTCTTCACACAAGGAAACGGACTCAGAGAGATCGACCTATGTAGCTTAGGTCATCCACTGGTAACTGTCACAGCTGGTACTAATTTCAATGTGCCTGAATCCCAGTCCCACTGATTCTTGAAAGGCCAAAAGCAATAAAGTCATGAAATAGGTTCTCAAGGGAACCAGGGTATCATCTTCCTACATGATATTCAAGAAAGAGATCTGAGCTTCTTTTAAGTAGACATTGAAATTAGATGACTCAGTACAGACGTTTTCCAAACAATTCTGTATGTGACTCTTTTTACTTTCTCAATTCTAATTTAACCCCAAATTCTCCCTTTTTTCTAAAAAGTAAAACACTATTTGTTTGTTATATTCAACAAGAAGTAATGAGTTTGAAAAGGTTACTATCCCTCATAAGCAAGATAATGTCATGAATATATAAGAAAGAATAAAGCCTGGCAGATTCATTCAGGGGTATGGTATTAAGTATTGCTAACAATACTACTATTTTTCAAAGTAAGGTCATGAACTACTACTATACAGAGCTGAAACATACAAAAATGAAAATTGGGTTGAAAAGTTAACATAAATTAAAATGAACAAAAGGTTACTTTTTTTTTTTTTGAGACAAAGCCTCAAGCTATTTC